ACCTTGCCAGTAAACCACAGCCACTTGGCGATATACAGATTAATAGAAATGAATTAACCAAAGATATAAGAACTAGCTAGCAATGCACTTAAGTGATTTAAATAATATAGTTTCTGAGTGGTTATTTTGACACTCATTCTTGGCAGTCGGGAACAAATAAATGGCCTCCTACTACATCTTTCCTCCTCCCTCCTTCCATCTCCCTCTCCTTCCTACATCCTGAAAAAGTCAGGCAAATAATTTATTTCAGCTTGCTGATATGGAACTTTAGTATGAGTGAGTCTACTTTGGTTTTATCCATTTTGAGTCATGTACTGGAAGGAGCTGGTTCAAAGCAAATGGACTCCTATAAATTTTGCTTAGTAATATATATATTTCAGTTTACATTCTTAAAATTTCAGTTGTATTCTTTTCTTCCTTCCTTCCTTCCTTCCTTCCTTCCTTCCTTCCTTCCTTCCTCCCTTCCTCCCTTCCTCCCTTCCTTTCTTCCTTTCTTCTTTCATTTTTTTTTTTTTGAGACAGGGCTTAGGGTTTTGCTGTAGTTTTTAAAGCCTGTCCTGGAACTAGCCCTTGTAGACCAGGCTGGCCTCAAACTCACAGAGATCCGCCTGCTTCTGCCTCCTGAGTATTGGGATTAAAGGTGTGCACCACCACTGCCCAACTCAGTTGTTTTCTTTAATGCCACTTAGTTACATGACTTAAAACCCAATACATTTTCTCCAGAATGTTGGAGAGAATTCTTCTCACTCTTCTCTCTCAAGTCATACATGTTACCAGATCAATTTTTTTTTTGCTTTTGATGCTGGAGAGCCAAAGTTGGGTCTCATGTATGCTAAGTACATGCTCTACCATCAAGTGAGACCTTCAGAGTCTATTATCAGGTTTTGTTGTATTATTTATTTATTTATATGACTTTATTAGTAAAATTTCATTCAAGACATGTGCCCATTTAAATGCCATTGGATTTTGTTTTTTACTTCTTTTGTTGTTTGTGCTACTTATATTTTGTGGGTATTAAGTCTTTGGGAGTTGTGTGGTTACAAGCTTCTTTTCTATAGGTTACTATTTAATCCCTTTGATTGTTTCCTTTACCATGTGGAAACATTTTACTTTGATGCAATATTGCTTATCTAATTGTGTTTTTGTTCTACTGCTTCTGGGTTCACAGCTGAAAATATCATGGTTCAAGAAACATTTTCCTTATGTTATTTTCCAGTGGTTTTGGAGTTTCAGGTCCTATATTTAAATGTTTAATCTGTTTCTTTGTTTGTTTTAAAGAAAACAAACTATCTTTTCTCATTATACATAGTAATCCAAGTTCTCACTCCCTCCGCTCTTCCCACTCCCTCCACACACTCTCCCATGCACCCCCATCCAATCCTCAGAGAGGGTAAGGCACATTGCTTTGGGGAAGGTCCAAGGCCCTCCCTACTGTATATAGGCTAAGCAAGGTATCATCCAAAGAGAATAGGTTTCCAAAAGGCCAATATATGCAGTAGGGATAAATCCTGGTGCCATTGCCAGTGGCCCCACAGTCTGCCCCAGCCATGAAACTTTCAACCACATTCAGAGGAACTAGTTTGGTCCTATGCTTGTTCCTTCCCAGTCCTGCTGGAGTTGGGGAGCTCCCATTAGCTCAGGTAGACTGTTTCAGTGGGTGTACTCATTATGATCTTGACCCCTTTGCTCATGTTCTCACTCCTCCCACTCTTCAACTGGACTTTGGGAGCTCAGTCCAGTGCTCCAATGTTGGTCTCTTGCCTCTGTTTCCATCAGTTGCTGGATGAAGGTTTTATGGTGACATTTAAGATATTCATCAGTTTGACTACAGGACAAGTCAAGATTGGGCTTCCTCTCCTCTATTGCTTAGGGTCTTAGCTGGGGTTATCCTTGTGGATTTCGGGAAATTTCTCTACAGTCAGGTTTCTTGTTAGTCTGTTGTATCTTGTAAGAATTCTTCTAGCCATTTACAAGCGAATGTGTATATAGTAATCTTTCATTCTTTTAAAATAAAACACAAAGTACACACTGTTGGTTGTGTGCTTTTCTATTATTTTAACAATACACCATAGATTTCTTTGTATTACAGATTAGAGGGTATGAACATTCTTTACTGTTGTCAGAGACTGCTCATTTGTTTCTGGCTGCCCAGACTAGAAATTACACAGAAATTATATTATTTGCAATACTGTTTAACCAATAGCTTAAGCATAGTTTTAACTAGTTCTTATATCTTAAACTTACCATCTGTTAATCTGTATATCGCCACATGGCTGTGGTTTACCAGGTAAAATTCCATCTGACGTCCAGTGTCTGTCTCTGGCGGGGCTAAAAGGCTTCTCACTGACTCTGTCTACTCTCTCTCTCTTTATCTCTTTCAGCCTGGCTTTACTCTGTTAAGCCATTGGCCAAAAGACACCTTTTTTTTATTAACCAATGGCAATAAAACATATTCACAGCATACATTGCCTCCCATATCATTACATATCCAGTGTTCAGTCATATGGATGTATCATACTTTAATTGTTCTTTAAATATGAACATTTAAAATGTTTCCAGTCTCTGGCAATTAAAAAATGATACAATATATGTATAACTTCGTAAGTTATTTCTCTTATTTTCTGACATACTTAAGTTATTTTGAGGTGGACAATTACTTTAATGTGTGTATTTTTAGTGGTGAAAGACATTTGTCAACTATTTAGTAATTTTGTATTGAATGTAAGATAAAGCAGGGGAAGAGAGGTACTTCTTCAGGGGCATTTGTACTCTGTCCTTTGGACAGTCCCAAAGTTTCTGACAAACATTTTGTTGCCTTTGTTTCTTTGGGACCAGACTTAAGTCTAATCAGCTATTTCTGACATGTGCTTTTGCTTTAAGATCAATAACAGACATTTGATTTTGTAGGAACTGATGACCATTTTCCAACTATTGCACTGGAATGGAAGCCTGAAAGCCCTCCGTGAAACAAAGTGCTCTCGACAGGTGAGACTTTCTGGTTGAAACAGGTTGGTGTTTTGAAGACAAGACAAGGAGTTTACCAAACTTTGAAGAGACTTCCTTTATTCAGATGCTTCTGTTTGTGTAAATATATCGACTGAAACTGATTGTTTGTGCATTCATTTCTTTGTTTTAAATTTATATTTGCCTATTAAGTAAGAGCAGGGACGAGTGAAGAAATATTGAGTCACGGACTGCCACACACTAAGAATGTTGGCTCTGCAGAGGGTTGATTAGAATACCTACTATAGTGAATGCAGAATGAAGCAACCATAAGACAGTGTTGGATTCTAAGTGAAGTACTGAACTCCCCTTGTGCATCTATCTACCCTGCCTACCTTGGAACTGTCCCCTTTTGCACTCTCCAGTATAGAAAGGAAGAGAATACATGGTTTCTAAAACCTTCTCACTAAAGACAGGCAGAATTGTTACAACAAAAGTTCCCCAAAAGCAATAAAAAGGATCATTAAGTTGGACACACTGGCATTTGGTAACCTTAATTTTTTTTGGTTTAGAAGTTTTCTCTTTGTTTTCCAGAGGCAAGGTCTCTGTATTCCTTCATTACTTACAATAGGAACCATTCTTCTTTTTAATATCAAGCGTAAACTCTATCCTGTGTGTTTAACACTTTTTTCTTGTTGTCCTCTGAGATTTATCCTTTCCTTATTCATCATTAGAACTTAAAAGATAATAGTTTATTTTTGGAAATTTCCTAATAAGAATTTATATGAAGAACTAAGATGCTACAGTAAGTAAGAGGAGAGTGGAGGCACTGCAGGCCCAGTAATTTTTAGTTGTTCTTTGCTTAGAAAGTCTGGCTTTCAAAATGTCAAAAATGGAAAAGAAATGAGTAGCTGACAATGGATTTGGCAATTTTTTCCCCTTTCCTTTGATTTTTGAAAGTCCTTTGAAATATGTTGGGTTGGTCATAAACACTTTTCCATGATTGTTTTTAATTTGTTAAGGTCATAAATAAATACCATATGTTCCTGATGAAAATAAAAATAAGCAAAGCATCCATTCCTCATGATCAAACATATATATGACAGCATGATGGATTGATATTTTTTCACAGAAGAAATGAAAGTAGTTAATTTTTAATTATTTGCAAAAGTAAAAACTAGTGTATCACAAAAGTATCACTGTAATACTAATAATGATAATGCCTCCATTCTACAATACATTTTGGAAGTTCTTTCTATGTTTATTGTGAACCATATGGATATTTGTCTTCCTTATGCTAAAAAAGTCTTTACCACTCTACAGGCAGTGGGCTCTGGGAGCCAAAAATGAGACATACTAAAGTCTCATGTAACAGTCTACTGTATTTGGAGCATCAATCAATTTATAGCCTGAGGGTTAAGTGTATAATCACAAGGGCAATCCGCACATGGTGGACAAGTTTCATATGGCAAAAGCATTTTTCCATAGAGGCTATAGCCAGTAGTAATGTGTAATCTGAAGTAAACTCACTCCCAACTGGTATGCCTGGGAGGCGTTTGAACACACATTCCAAGAACAGTTTTGAGTTTTTGAAGAAAGTGAGGTCACAAGACTCTTGTCTGTTTTCTTGGCGTTTTCTCACAAGCACTCAAAATTCTCCTCACAGCACTCTACTCTTGAGCTGTGTTCCAACAAAGCACATCATCTAGAAAATAGTCTTGGGTTTCAAAGTCTTCTAAAGTCCCCTTGACTGAAGGCTTCCTCTTTCCTGTAATAGGCATGTCCTAACCTCATTCTGCCTCAGCTAGACTGTGTAACTCCTTTCCTCCCTCTGTCTTGTTATAGACAGTAGTCCTGGTTGGGCCCAAGGGTCCAGTGAAATGAATGAAATCATATTTATATGTTGTCACAGAATATATTTTTGTGAACATTATTGCTATTTCTAGTGTTAGGTTTTGACTCAACCTGGAGGGACAGGCTTTGTGGGACTAGATTTGTTCATTATTTCCTTTTAAGAAGTATGCCAATGGGATTTGGTTTCAGATTTTGAAAGTTAGTGTTGTTTAAAGGCCACATAACTGACTGGGAAGTATGTAAGGCCTAGCAAACATGTGCCTTTGTTTCTGTCTATTGACACTCTGAACTTTTGTTTCTTGATTCTAGGAAGTCATCTCCTATTATTCCCAATATTCTTTAGATGAAAAGATGCGCAGCCACATGGCCCTGGACTGGATCATGAAGGAGCGCGAGTCCCCAGGAATTCTCTCTCAAGAGCTACGTGCAGCCCTGGGGCAGCTGGAGGAAGCCAGGAAGTCAGGACAAGAACTACGGTTTTACAAAGAAAAAAAAGAAATCCTGAGTTTGGCTCTGATTCAGATCTATAGTGACCCTGACCCTTCCTCACCCAGTGATGACCAGCTGAGCCTCACTGCTCTGTGTGGCTATCATTAGCAAGCCCAGGTCTCAGGTTTCCTGGGGACTTTCACATCAGGAATCTCGTTGACAGAGGTTGTCAGAGATTTTAGCATAATAGTCACTACCTGAAGGGTACACTACCCATTCTGTGCACAGAATCGGAAAGTAGTACTGGTCCAGACCCCAACTTCCTTCTTCATATATGTTTTCAACTATGCCCTTAGTGGTTCTACTTCAGAATGAATGACAACAGAACTGATTGGAAAGTATTATTCAGGGTTGAATCCAATCTAAAGTCTAGTTGATATGTGCCTTATTTCACACAAGGGGCTAGTACAAAAGTCTCCAAGAAAACAGCAACAGTACTAGGGAAGGTAGCATGCTAACAACTTGTTGCTGTTGTTGTTTCTTTATTAAATAATACCAATCAAAATTCCCACTTCCTCCCCTCCTTCCACTTTCCTCCAGCTCCTCCACACACCCTCCCACCCACCCCCCTCCAGTCTTAAGAGAGGGCAAGGCACCCTGCCCTGTGGAAAGTCCTAGGTCCTCCCCCTTACATCCAGGCTTAGGAAGGTATGCATCCAAAGAGAATAGGATCTCAAAAAGCCAGTACATGAGTAGAGACAAATCCCAGTGCCATTATCATTGGCCCCTCAGTCTGCCCCAATTGTCAACCACATTCAGAGGGTTCAGTTTGATCCCATGCTCATTCATTCCCAGTCCAGCTGGCTTTGGTGAGCTCCCATTAAATCAGGCACACTGTCTCACTGGGTGGACCAACCTCTCGTGGTCCCGATTTCCTTGCTCATCTTCTCCCTCCTTCTGCTTTTCAACTGGACCTTGGGCGCTCAGTCCAGTGCTCCGATGTAGGTCTCTGTCTCCAGCCGAAGCTGGACGAAGGTTCTATGGTGATATTCAAGATAGTCGTCAGTCTGACAACAGGATAAGGCCAATTCAGGCACCCTCTCCTCCACTGCCCAGGGTCCTAGCTGGGGACATCCCCATGGAATCCTGGGAACCCCTCTAGAGCCAAGCCTCTTGCCAACCCTAAAATGGTTCCCTCAATTAAGATATTTCCTTCCCTGCTCCCATATCCGTCCTTCCTCCATCTCAATCATCCCACCCCCAAAGCTCTCCCCAACACTCCCCTTCTNCCCTCTAAGCCCCCCCCCCCCCGCCTCCATGCTCCCAACTTTTGCCTGGTGATCTTGTCTGCTTCTAATTTCCAAGTGGATCTATATATGTTTTACTTTGAGTTCACCTTATTACTTAGCTTCTCTGGGATCAATGTCCTTTGTTTATGATTATTAGCATCTACTAATGAGTGAGTAAATACCATATTCATATTTTAGGATACAGTTTTCTACTTCCATCCATTTGCATGCAAAATTCAGGGTGCAATTGTTTTGTTACCACTGAGTAGTACTCTAATGTGTAGATGTGCCACACTTTCTTTATCCATTCTTCCATTGAGGGGCACCTAGGTTGTTTCCAGGTTCTGGCTATTACAAATAGTGCTGCTATGAACATTGTTGAACAAATGCTTTTGTAGTATGATTGGGCATCTCTTGGGTATATTCCCAAGAGTGGTATTGCTGGATCCTGAGGTAGTTTGACTCCTAACTTTCTGAAAAACCGCCACACCGATTTCCAAAGTGGTTGCACAAGTTTGCATTCCCACCAGCAATGGATGAGTGTTTCCCTTACTCCACATCCTCTCCAACATAAGCTATCATTGGTGTTTTTGATTTTAGCAATTCTGACAGGTGTAAGATGGTATCTCAAAGTTGTTTTGATTTGCATTTCCCTGATAGCTAAGGAAGTTGAACATATCCTTAAGTATCTTTTGGCCGTTTGAAATTCTTCTGTTGAGAATTCTCTGTTCAGTTCAGCACCCCACTTTTTAATTGGGTTGTTTAGAATTTTAATGTCTAGTTTCTTGAGTTTTTTAAAATATATTTTGGAGATCAGACCTTTGATGTGGGGTTTGTAAAGTTCTCTGATTCAGCAGGTTGCCTTTTTGTCTTAGTGACAGTGTCCTTTGCTTTACAGAAGCTTCTCAGTTTCAGGAGGTCCCATTTATTCATTGTTGCTCTTATTGTCTATGCTACTGGGGTTATATGTAGAAAGTGGTCTCCTGTGCACATGCATTGAAGGCTACGTCCCACTTTTTCTTCTATCAAGTTCAGTGTGGTTGGATTTGTATTGAAGTCTTTAATTCATTTGGACTTGAGTTTTGTGCATGGTGATAGATAAGGATCTACTTTCATTCTTCTACAGGTTGACATCCAGTTATGCCAGCACCATTTGTTGAAGTTGCTTTTTTTTCTTTCATTGTATAATTTTAGCTTCCTTGTCAAAAATCAGATGTTCATAGGTGTGTGGATTAATATCCAGGTCTTCAATTTGATTCCACTGGTCAATGTCTCCGTTTTTATGCCAATACCAAGCTGTTTTTGTTACTGTAGCGCTGTAATAGAGTTTGATGTCAGGGATAGTAATGCCTCCAGAAGTTCCTTTATTGTATAGAATTGTTTTGGCTATCCTGGGTTTTTTGTTTTTCCATATAAAGTTGATTATTGTCTTCTCCAGATCTGTGAAGAATTTTGTTGGGATTTTGATTGGGATTGTATTGAATTTATAGATTGCCTTTGGTAGGATTTCCATTTTTACTACATTGATCCTACCAATCCAGGAGCATGAGAGATCTTTCCATTTTCTGGTATTCTCTTCAATTTCTTTTTTCAAAGACTTAAAGTTCTTGTCAAATAGGTCTTTTACTGTTTTGGTTAGTGTTACCCCAAGATACTTTATGCTATTTGTGGCTATTATAAAAGGTGAAGTTTCTCTGATTTCCCTCTCTGCTTCTCTGTCCTTTGTGTATAGGAGGGCTACTGATTTTTTTTGAGTTGATCTTGTAACTTGACACATCACTGAAGGTATTTATGAGCTGTAGGAGGTCACTGATAGAGTTTTGGGGGTCACTTATGTACCCTATCATATAATCTGCAAATAATGAAAGTTTGACTTTTTCCTTTCCAATTTGAATCCTTATCTCCTTTTGTTGTCTTGATCTCCTTATGTTGTCTTACTGCTATTGCTAGAACTTCAAGCATTATATTGAAGAGGTATGGAGAGAGTGGAGAGCCTTGTCGTGTTCCTGATTTTAGTGGAATCACTTTGAGTGTCTCTCTATTTAATTTGATGTTAGCTGTCGGCTGTATGTTGCTTTTATTATATTTAGATATGATCCTTGTATCCCTATCTCTCCAAGACCGTTATCATAAAAGGGGTGTTGAATTTTGTCAAATGCTTTTTCGGCATCTAATGAAGTGATCATATGGTTTTTACTTTCAGTTTATTTATATGATAGATTACATTGATAGATTTTCATATGTTGGACCAGCCCTGCATCTCTGGGATGAAGTCTATTTGATCATAATGGATGATTTTTTTGATGTGTTCTTAGATTCGGTGTGCCAGTATTTTATTGAGAATTTTTGCATCAATGTTCATGAATGATATTGCTCTGTAATTCTCTTTCTTGGTTGAGTCTCTGTGCAGTTTTGATGTCAGGGTAACTGTAGTTTTATAAGAAGAGTTTGGCAATGACCCTTCTGTTTCTATTATGTGAAAGACATTGAGGAGTATAGGTACTAGCTCTTCTTGGAAGTTCTGGTAGAATTCTGCACTAAAACCATCTGGCCCTGGGGTTTTTTTGTTGGGAGGTTTTTGATGACAGCTTCTATTTCCTTGTGACTTATAGGTTTATTTAAATTGCTTACCTGGTCCTGATTTAATTTCGATGTATGGTATGGAAATTGTCCATTTCTTTTACATTTTCTAATTTTGTGGAGTACAGGTTTTTGAAGTAAGACCTAATGATTCTCTGAATTTTCTCAGTGTCTGTTGTTATGTCCCCTTTTCATTTCTGATTTCGTTCATTTGGGTGTTCCCTCTCTGCCTTTTGATTAGTTTGGATACGGGTTTGTCAATCTTGTTGATTTTCTCAGAGAACCAGCTCTTTGTTTCATTGATTCTTTGAATTGCTTTCTGTGTTTCTATTTTGTTGATTTCAGCTCTTAGTTTGATTATTTTCAATCTTATACTCCTCCTGGATGAGTCTGCTTCTTTTTTTCTAGAGCTTTCAGGTGTGCTGTTAAGTCTCTAATGTGAGCTTTCTCCATTTCCTTTATGTGGGCACTTAGCATTGCTTTCACAGTGTCCCATAGATTTGGGTATGTTGTGTCTTTATTCTTGTTGAATTCAAGGAAGACTTTAATTTTTTCTTTATTTCTTCCTTGACCCAGGGGTGGTTCAGTAATTGACTGTTTAGTTTCCATGAGTTTGTATGCTTCCTAGGGGTAGTATTGTTGTTAAATTCTAACTTTACTTCATGGTGATCCGATAAGACACAGATAGTTACTCCAATTTTTTTGTATCTGTGGATGTTTGCTTTGTTACCGAGTATGTGATCAATTTTTGAGAAGGATCCATGAGGCGCTGAGAAGAAGGTATATTCTTTCCTGTTTGGGTAGAATGTTCTATAGATGTCTGTTAAGTCCATTTGATTCATTACATCTGTTAGTTTTCTTATTTCTCTGTTAAGTTTCTGTCTGGTTGACCTGTCCATTGTGGATAGAGGAGTGTTGAAATCTCAGTGTGTGGGGTTTGATGTGTGATGTGAGTTCTAGTAATGTATCTTTTACATATGTGGGTGCTTTTATATTAGGGGCATATATATTCAGGATTGAGACTTCATCTTGATGATTTGTTCCTGTTATGAGGATAAAGTTTCTTTTTCCATCTCTTCTGTTTGATTTTAGTGTGAAATTAATTTGTTAGATATTAGAATAGCCACACCTGCTTGTTTCTTAGGTCCATTTGATTGGAAAACCTTTTCCCAACCCTTTACTCTGAGGTAATGTCTGTCTTTGAAGTTGAGGTATGTTTCTTGTAAACAGAAGAATGTTGGATCCTGTTTTCATATCCATTCTCTTTACCTGTGCCTCTTTATAGGTGAATTGAGTCCATTGATATTAAGTAATATTAACGACCAGTGGTTGTTAACTCTGGTTATTTTTTTGATGGTGGTGTTTGTGTGTTTTCTTTCTTTGAGTTGTGTTGGAGGAGGGTTGTCAGATGCCTATGTTATTATGGGTGTTGTTGGCTTCCTTGAGCTTATGTTTTCCTTCCTGTACTTTCTGTAAGGCTGGGTTTGTGGCTATATATTGTTTAAATCTGTTTTTGTCCTGGAATATCTTGTTTTCTCCACCGATGGTGAAA